CGAACTGAGTAATCCGAGCTGCACACACTCATACGTGCTTACAATCATCTTCGACATACTATATCTTATTGTACGATTGAATTTCAAAAGATTCGACCGTAGTTTCCAAACGCGAATTTAAAAAAAAAAAAGAGAGCATTAATAAAATAAAACAAAACTAAACTGAAGATGTAAGTATTATTGGAACAAGGCAAATTTTTCTCGATCTCTCTAAATAAAATAATTTTAGAATTAATTGATAATCTAAGAAGCTGCAAAAAATAGTGAGAAAAAGTTATTTTAAACTGTATCAAAAAAAGCCGAGAGACATGAGATTGTCAGTTGTAGTTTGATCACTCTTACGTCTCCGACTATTCTTCGTATCGTGAAGTAAAGTCATAAATTTTGCGGTCAAACGAAACCGATCGTTATTATGACTATTGGTAAATCGAAGTCACCGTCACGTGCCATCATATTTTTTCTCAGCCTTCCTTTTAGATAATGGAAGTGAAAAAGGATGTGACGCCGCAATTTTTAAAGGTCGCAGAGTTACGCAGTTTTATAAAGCGCTGGAACCCGCTTCGGGTCCAGGAATCTATATTTCATGAATTTATACGACCGCCAACACCCACGTAAAATTTATGCATATACATAAATATACATATACACAAATTCGCGAATAGGGATAGATTAATTTCCAGTTGATTCCGATTAAAAATTGCTCGATTGTTCTCCTCTATTTACAATTTTTTCATTTGTTCGACTAGAAATGGGAAGAATGTCGAAAAAAAAGAAATTATTTTTATGTGGTCACGGACATGATAATATTAATTAAATTATTTTGATTATAAAATTATATATTAATATAATTTGTCGATTGCAAGAAAATGTCGTACGGAGTAAAAGTGTAAATTTAAAAGCTTTAAACAAAATGACCGCAACAAACATGATTAACATATGTGATATACTGAAATCTTTTTTTAATTAAAAATTTTGTTAATTTTAGAAAATTGTAAATGGATTAATTATGAACACCATTGTATAAATCAATTGTTTAAGTTGGCTAATGATTGCTAATATTAATTATTTGACTTGAAATGATCTTTTCTGGTATTTACTTTCTGTTTCTTCTTTTATTATCGATATATTAATACTTTTCGGGCTGCAGTTTCTTACATCAGAAACTTTTGAATTATTTATTTCCAAAATAAACAAGAAATTGATTGGGAGATTGATAAAACTAATATTGCTGGAGCGTTGTTTCCAGAAAAATATCAGAATGTGAATTCCGGATGGTTCCGTGAATCCGTATTACGCTGCATTACATAATTGTTCCAGTTGATAGTGGCGTGTTAAATTGCAGAGGGTGAGAAAGGAAAGGCAAAGGTGCACGATCGATGCATTTCTATTGCGTGCGCTATAGTCAACAACCGTTCAATGGTCGATTGCCAACCAATCAATTGATCGGTGGAGAGTTACGTAACGTTCAAGTCGACTACTGGATTCAGTATCCGAGAAAGTTGTCGTAAGAAGCTTGCAACTACGTTACTATGCGTTCACTAATTAAAGACGCTACGAAAGCTCGGAGCATGAAAATATTGCGCGTCACGAAAATTATTATTGAGTAAATACCGTCATAATTGAGTTTTATTCATTTTGATTCATTCAACGGTGATATCTTGCACTTTTCTTTCAAGCTATTTTAACTCTATTTTGTTTAATCTTAGAATAACAAAGTTTTGCCATGAGAAAATTTAATAGAGAAAATTTTATAACATTTATCGTAATTTACGGAATTTACGGAATGGAGATTGAAAATAGAAATTACTCATTTATGAATTAATTATAATTAATAATTTAAATAATAATATAATAATTAATAATTAAAAATTCATAAATTTTTGTACATTTTAAATGCATCTAAACAAAATATTCAAGCTGTAAACGATTTTAATGTACATTTTATTAGACATAACTTGCTGCTTCTTTTCTTTCTAAAGTTGATTTAAAGAATCTTTATGACTAATTTATGGCTAATCTTTATGACACATATTAATTTGTTTAATCACTTAAAGATGGATACATTATACATATTAATTATTCTTTGAAACAAAGCTGCAAACGCAAATATGTATACATCTAAAATCTAACTTTGATCTTTTGATGGAATGACTTTGTGAATACGTTGCGATTATTGGCAGTCTGCAACATTTATCAAGGAATGAGCAGATGCCAAGTCGAACAATTTCCAATTTTGGAAAATAATTTATTTAGTATGAGTACGAATAACATGGTTGGCAACATGTTAGAATGGTGCGACTAATTAAATCGTTAAATTCTTTAATTTAAATTCTTTAATTAAAATTTTTAATCTTTAAAAATGCCCTAAAGCCGTCGAAGAGTTCCCTTTCTCGTGGAATTCTCTCGCGTATATTCATCTTGCGTCCTTCGAGCGACACCTCAATTTTTTTCGCAAACAGTGAATAGCTACAACGGCGTCTTCAATCGTAACGTGTTTTTAAACATCTAACAGCACCGTGGGAATTTAGTGCAGAAATTACAAAGTTTGCATACAAATTTTGTAACTTTTGCGTTTGAAGAATGAGAGAGAAGGCGCGCAAGTTAAATTTATTTCGAAGAGAAATACCATTCATACATATTACTGTATTATTTGCAAAGGTATTTGCGGATGTTTAGAAACAAAGAAACGCCGATCATGCGTGATGCATTTTCCACGCGATATTGCTTGAATGCACCCACGTCACTTTTCGATATTTCAAAATAATTCCGTCGCCGTTATCACGGGAAAATAAAATGATATTGATGAATAATATAACAGCGCAACAATTTATCTCTTTCATGAAAAAGACATGTAGTTTAATTAGAAAATGTTATTATCAGCATTTACCAAAATGAATTGGAATAGAATTATGAAGGAATAATCCCCTAGTATAATATCTGTCTACTAGAAATTGACAAAAGAGTTGAAATGACGTGCTTTAATTATAATTATAGAGTATGTGATAATTTAAATTGTGGGAAATTAATTTTTGTTTTGTATTCATCAACTGCGTAAATTTATGGAGCACGATCTATCTTACAAGGCTGCAATTATACACCTCAGAGTGCAGTGGATAAAAACAAGTTGAGCGTGACTGAGCAACATTACAAGGTATCAAAGCTTCGCTTTGAGCGCGCACATCTTTACAATAATTACAATAAAAATTGCATAAGCGGCATTTCATTAGTTAGAAAGCGTTAATTATGGAATGCCTGCCGGCGATTGTAGTGAGTTGGGAAAAGGGTGTAAAGGACACAAACGTTTTGAAAAGACATTATACTAATCGTAACGAGAATAAGTGTCTGTGCATAACGATCCCGCGATGATGAACACCGTATTATACAAATCTTGCGACATAAAAAACTTGCCATTTGCGATTGTTTTATTATTTGCAGTTAATTTCAAGTGACATATCAAAAAAGGAATTTAAATAATAACATGAAAAATTTTAAAAAGACAAAAATAGACTGAAAATCGCATTAATCTACGTATGCTGTATTTTATAGCATAATCCTAATTTATTATATGCCAGAAGTTATAGTGAAAGACGATGAAACTAAATTCCAAGTAAAATAAGAATTATGAATATTATGTTTGCGGAAAGACTCTATTATATTTTCATTTGTCATCTAATGGTAACATAACACAGTAACAGAATTGTTCCATTGGTAAGAAAAACAAGTCGTACAAAGCAGAAGTTGAAAATAAATTTAACAACGAGTGGATTTGAGTGTTCCTCAAGCAGTATTGTGCGTCATTCGTTGTATGCACCTGTCGGCGCATTCATTTATCCGCACCACTTCGTATTGTAAGACGAGACGAACGCAAAAGTAATGGCGAAAATAAATCGGCTTTTCGCGTCACGCCGAGATTTGCAGAGTGTTGCCTGTGCTTTTTAACAAAACCCACGCAATTGTCGCAGGTTAATTATCCCCGCGACTGACGGGATATCACGGGATAACCGCGGATATCACGAATCCTCGTGACTGTCCTTTTCGAAGAATAGTCGAGAAAAATCTGAATCCGCGTTCTGACAAATCGTGATTTTTTATAAAAGATTACAGGGATTTTCATATCGTTGTGAATATTTACGAAATTTCTTGTAAAATTCTTGGAAGACGTTTACGCGGCGTTGTGTAAATAAAAATTAAAAAAGAATACGAGCGCTTCTCCTTTGGAATCGAGCAGGATTTTCTTACATCGCGATGAGTGGATTGCGGCTATGTACATTGTGAAATCAGTGTTCGCTTGTGTGTACAAATCTTGCATAAGCAACGAATGATTCTCCTCGGAAAGATTGCAATTCGTAAGAATAACCTTTTGCGCTCCGCAGGATCGCGTCGATATCCCGGAATATTCTGTTTTGCGTGGGACGGCGCATCATTCGCGGCGTCTTAATTACACTAATACGCATTTACGGTCATGCACTCAATAATGGAGTAAAATTTATCTTAAACAGATCGATGATCTGTCATAATCTTTACTTTCAATTACTATGATTAAATCTCCGTAATGTAACTACCTATAATATTGCGTTAGTTTGACCCCAATAAGCAGAGTGTGCCGTAATTTATATTAATGGATTCGAAAATACATATAGTTTTTGTTAATTTCTTCCGAGATCAAAAAGAAACTGGTATATAAAATTGAAGACGTTAGAAAAGGAGCTGAAAAGTAATTTCCTGTTCTTTCCAGTGCTTTCGTGTTTTATGAAGTACAATTTGTGAAGGTACAAAAACCGTAGGAATTATGGTTTTATGAATTGAGAAATAATTAAACGCTTATAATTGAAAACTTATCAAAAAAGTGCATTTTTTTATGCATTAAAGTTTTATATATATAAAAAAATTGCATAAAAGATTTTTTTAGATAAAATATCTCTGTTTATTTAATAAAAAAAACTGGATAATGAAATTGCTGTAATTTTTCATTACAGCCAGTGTGTGCATTTTTGTTGCAAAAACCAGATGCATGCCTGAGTTAATTTCTCTACAGGGAAAGTTATTTCGATAGATAATTACTTCACGATGCTAAATATCTAGATTATTTGAAACCTACATAAATGCTCTTTTTTTTTTTTTTTTTTTTTTCTACGTATTCGATTCGCAATCGTAGAAGCGCATTTCCTTACAGGAGCAGATATATTTCGCCGTTTACAGTTATCACTTTTTGCGCAAGAATGAAAATTTTCTTATACTTTACCTTATAAAAGTATTATTTACGAGCTGTTTGCACCGAACTACATCCGCCTCCGCAGTTGCAACAGTCACGTCTCTATCCCTCTAGCCGCGACTTTTCATTCAGTTTCATTCCAACAAAATTCATCCCCTCTTTATCCATTCGCGCCCCCCCCCCTTTTTTTCACCCTTTCTCACACTATAATCTCATACTTTCTGGGTGGAGACTGCGGCGGCAATGACGTAATAAAAATACGGAGCCAGGATACGCACTCTCGGACGAACTGGGGAACGCGCAGAGGAGGAACGCGGACACCGGGGCGATGGTGGTGGTGGATATGTGGCGCCCACCAGAGAGAGCCTGATCCGCTCTTGCTCTCG